TTCTTCTTCTTCTTCTTCTTCATGCGGAGTCGATTGTAATACTATGGGAGCATGTACGCAAGACAGTGTTGGCCTCTGTTTATCACTATCCTTCTTCTTCTTCTTCTGCTTCTGCTGCTGCTGCTGCTGCTGCTGCTGCTGCTGCTTCTGCTGCTGCTTCTGCTTCTGCTTCTGCTGCTGCTTCTGCTTCTGCTGCTGCTGCTTGCTCTGTTCTCTCCTCCTTCAGTCCCTGGTAGGCTGGCAGCCATAGCTGCCATCTCTCTCTTCCTCTTACGTTCTTTCCTGGTGCTGTGCTGGACAGCATCGCTGTAAGACCTGAATGCATCGTTCTGGAGGTTGTGCAGGGTGCTATCCCTAGGGAATGGGTGATGTTTGGAGAGAGGCGTCTCCAGCGTTGGCAATGGGCCTCTGAATGAGAGGAGGAGATGGTCTGCAGTTGAGAGCATCAACGTCCCTACCTACGACCATCCAAGTGCATTAGGGTGGTCTAAGGGCATCTGGAAGGGTGAGAAGTACCCACCTACCCACCCACCCACCCACCTACCTACCTACACTGCCTACCTAGCACCATCCCTGCTCAGGAGGCATCTGGAAGCATTCCTAGCGTCTTCACCTCGGGTACAAAGCCCGGTCATTAAAGCAGAATTTGGGCCAACTTTCACACTACATTCTGCGATACCGACCGCGCGTTCTATTCGGGTGAAGACGGCTGGGCGTTGGACACCTACTATTATCATTATTCTTCGGCTGGGAACTACTATTTTAGGGTGTGTCATGCTTTTCGTTTTTTTCGTTTTTTTCGGTTTTTTTCGGTTTTTTTCGTTTTTTTCGTTTTCTTCGTTTTTTTCCTCTTTTTTTCCTTTTTTTTCTTTTTTTTCTTTTTTTTCTTTTTTTCCCGAAGGTGTGTGATGCTTTTCAGAGACAGGTCTGCAGAGTCGAGAATGGGGCTCCTAAGGCCGAGAGGAGGAGGAGGAGGAGGAGGAGGAGGAGGAGGAAGGGGGGGGGGGGGGGGGGTTCGCCGCAGCTGAGAACACCTACCTACCAAAACTGTACTTCTACGGCTCCCACCTTCTCCGAAATAGAACGGACGGTCCTTAGCGCTGTATCGAGACTGAAAGGTGCCCTAAATACAGCTAAACTGGCCGTGCGTTCTATTCGGGGGAAGACGGTAGCAGCTCAGGAAAAAGAAGAGGGCAAACGTATAATCAGTGGAGCCAATCATGACATTTGGATTGTTAGGGCCTGCCACGTGGTCGAATACTACACACATTAACAGTTAGTTCACAGATCATGAGATATAGAATAAGACAATCTTTCGGATTCACTCCCCCCTTCTGGATAACCAAAAAAAAAAAAAAAAAAAAAAAAAAAAAAAGCTTCTTCCTGCTGCATTCACTCCTCCACATGTATATCGTCATCGGACCCCTACTTACCACCTCCGCTCCCCACAAGAAGTAGAGAGAGCCTAATTACAAACCCTAATTCTCTCGAACCCATTCCCTCTCCAACCCTCTTTTCTCCTCAACGTCATCACCCGAATACAACACACCTAATCCATTCATGACTGTATCGGATCTGAAAACGAGTTTATGTACATTCGTGATCAGGGTGGGTGGTATTCGGTTGAAGACGTTAAGAGTTCTCTCTAACATCGTTCACAAATAGTTCCCACTCCCTCCACACCTCCTAAACCATCTCCCTCCCCTTAGCGCA